GGAAGATGAAATCGCCAGTAATGCAAATGTGAATGTAGGTTATGTAAATCACCTCCTTATTTCTGATATCAGATTGAAGTCGGTAGGACTAGTAAATACTAGTCCGAGACGATGCGGGAAAGTAAGCGAGGATATCAGAGGGCAATTGGAGTCGGGCACAGCGGGATGTATTCGATGGGCTACAAAAGAACTCGGACGGATAAAGCAAGTCAGAAGGTACACGTTAGCGCGGGAACTTACAAGACAGTCGTGTGCCGAGCCGATTGTAAGGAGGATTAAAACAAGCAAGAATAATGTACAGTTGGTCAACAATTAAATAGCACATAAAAGATAGCAGTTTTCATATTGGGAGCTACAGAGCTTCCCCCTGAAAGACTGAACATAGAAGCCTTCGATGTCAAAAATAACGGGTGAATCGAGGTTCGTAGGACAACATTTTGCCAAATAAGAATGATTGGGCGTTCGTGTCAAGTGGGGGTTCGCCGGAAGTCGGAGTTCGCTGTGCCGTTTGCGTTTTATTATTTATTGTTTGCATGGCAGCGTGCATTTCGACGAGCCGTTTGAGCGGACTTATCGGACTATAAATAACTGGCTAGCCCATAAAACGGCCGACAGCCCCTCAACCTCCGCTACTGCCAAACGGTACGTTTGGGAGTGGTCTGTGCCCGCGCCGCACCCCACACTGCGCCAAAACGACCCTCGTCCCACGGAGAAACGACTGTCGTCGCATGAAGAAGCGACACTAGTCCCGTGGAGAAATGACCAGCGTTCGCGTCAAGATCCATGCTGACTGCGCCGATCCTCGAAAAGATTGGTCGTGTGGGCCAGTCGATCGAAGGGGAGGGTTGGGGCGTGTAGAGACGAGAAAATAGAATACGCGCAGAAAATGTCAGAAAGAACGAACGAATGATCTGCGTGTTTAGATTTTCCGGTTTTTTGAATATTTTTAGAACAGGTTTTTAGAGGTTTTTGATGCTTTTTTGTTTTCAAAACGTCATTCGAGCAAAAACGGGATAAACATATACAATATATACAAACGTAAACGTATTTACACTGTACATAGTCGGAAAAGCGAACGGGCTTACGCACTTGCCGACCACGGCGAATGGTTGTGGGAGGCAGCGGACTAAATTCGGGAGATGTCGGGACGGCTGATGCTTGCAGACCGAGATCGTGGTCTGGTTGAACTGCACTAGGATGCTGAAAGCTAGTGCGGTGAGTTGTGACGTCGCACGAAGCACTACCAGACGAAGTAGGCGAGGTGGTTTCTTCCATAAAAGCGGGCTTTAGACGATCGATGGTGACGACTTCGCGTTGACCACCGCGGTCAATAGTATACGTCTTACTCACACGGTGTAACGTTTGAAAGGTCCTATGTACAGCGACTGAAGAGGCTGTCGAACACTGACTGCGCGAAGAAGGACGTGTGAACGCGTAGACAGGTTCTCGCGCATGTACACTGGTGTCTTCTGCGATCGAGGAGCGGGTGGACTTAGCTCACGCATCTGGTAAGCCAATCGATCAGTGTAACTTCCGTAGTCAATAGTGGAAGTAGATGGGGCTGGTGCTACCAGCTGTCCGGGCAACCGCAGAGTGCAACCGTACACTAGCTGCGCTGGTGTGGCGGCGAAATCGGTTTCAACCGTGTTTCATAAGCCTAAGAGAACGAGGGGAAGTGTTTGAGACCATGTAGGACCTGCGTGCGCACGTACCGCTGCCTTCAAGTGCCGGTGAAAACGCTCCACCATGCCGTTAGCGGCCGGATGATACGCCGTCGTCTGAACGTGGCGACAGCCTAAATCCTTAAGTAACGTGGCAAAGTCGACGAGACATCTAACTCTTGATTGGTGGTCACGATGGCGGGACAGCCGTATTGAGCTACCCAGCGCTCCAGAAAAGCTTTCGCTACCGTTTCCGAAGAGCAGTTAGGTATGGGAATAGCTTCCGGCCACCTAGTGAATCGATCGACACAGGTCAGTAGATATACAGAGCCTTTCGAAGGCGGCAGAGGACCTACGAGGTCGACGTGCACGTGGTGAAAACGTGCATCTTGCGTGGAAACTGTTCCTACTGGGCTTTTCGTGTGCTTATGCACTTTCGCGCGTTGACACGGAAGGCAAGCAGCTGCCCAAGTACGAACGTCACGATTGACATTGCGCCAGACGAACCGTGTGGCTACGAGTTTAACTGATGCACGAACGCCTAGATGAGATAAGCCGTGTAACGTGTCGAACACGGTCCGCCGAAACTCGCGCAGGACGACTGGGCACAGCGTGCCCAGAGATAAATCGCAAAGTACAGTTCCGTTTGATTATGTCAGCGGAACGGGTCGTATGTCCAGTGAGGGAGACCTGCGTATTATATCAACCTCAGGATCATTGAGTTGCGCTGCGGCCATGGCTGCCAAGTCGATAGCAGTGCCGGCGTCAGCGGAGATAGCTTGGATTCGGGGAAGTGCATCGGCGACGGCATTGTGTACCATGGAGACATGTTGTATATCGCTCGTAAACTAAGCGATATAATCAAGGTGGCGCGACTCTCTAGGAGAGTATCGGTAGGTAGTCGAGCCGAGCACGTAAGTCAAGGGTTTGTGGTCGGTGAAGATGGAAAAGGAGCGGCCTTTTAAGACGTGTCGAAAGTGATGTATCGCTAGTTATATGGCTAGTAGTTCTCTACCGAACGTGCTGTAGCGAGATTCGGTAGGTTGTAGGCGTTTGGAGAAAAACGCTAAGGGCTGTCACGTGTCGACTACTCGTTGCTGCAAAACAGCGCCGACTGCCACCTCCGAGGCGTCAGTACTGAGGGACAGTGGGGCTGCCGGATCGTGATGTGCTATAGAAGCTATGTTGGCGATAGCTTCTTTCAGCGATTTAAAAGCAGCGCGTGCTATAGCAGGAAATTCGAATTTCTTGAGTTTCCCTCGGTGAAGGTCAGTGAGTGGTTGCATCAGCGACGCGCGGTTTGGTATGAACCGTCAGTAAAAGTTGACATGTCTATCAAAACGCCTAAGCTGCTTGAAAGAATGTGGCTCGGGGTAGTGGATGATGGCTTGAATTTTATCCTGCAGTGGCACGACGCCTGCAGAGGAGATGCGATGGTCGAGGAAGTTTACTGAGTCGACACCAAATGAACACTTTTACGTTGCTCGTCACCCCGTGTTGAGATAAACGATCAAAGTGTGTTCGTACGTGGCGCATGTGCTCTTCTCGTGAAAAGCTCGTTGAGTAAAATGCCGTCGAGATAAGCGTAAGCAAAGTCTAAGCCGCGAAAAACTTGGTCGATGGAGCGCTGAAAAGTTTGCGCAACAAATTTTTTAGACCAAATGGCATGTGCAGGAATCCGAACAAACAAAATGGAGTTATCAAGGCACTTTTACCTATGTCTGATTTGTATAGCGGAATTTGGTTGTATCCGTGTACTAAGTCGATTTTGCTGAAGATATTTTTACTCGCCAGATTGGCAGTGCGATCCACGATGTGTAGGATCGGATAGCGATCAGGCGTGGTAACCGTGTATAAGGTTCGATAGTCGCCGCAAGGACGAACGTCCCCCATGACCTTCTTCGGGACCATATGGAGAGGTGAGGCACATGAGCTGCCGGACGGTCTGACGATACCGAGCTGAAGCATGGGGTCGAATTCAGCTCTTGCAGCGCGTAGGTTGTCCGGAGCAAGCCGCCTTGGTTGTGTGCTAACTGGTTGACCGCGCGTGACTATGTGGTGACTGACCTCTGTCTTGACTGGTGAAAGCTCTGCAGCCGGTCGAACCAGTCGTGGGTATTCGGAGAGGAGGCTGAAGTAATCGAACGGCGCGTTTGCGATCCGAAAAACAGGGCTCATTATCAGGGCATCTGAAAGGATGCCATCAATACCTAGTTTTGTACGGTCCTCTAAAAGGCTGTGGCGACCAGCATCAACAAGCAACCCAAAATATCAGAGAAAGTCGATACAGATAATTGCGAAGGGTACATATGCAACCATGAAGACCCACTGAAAATCTCGGCGAACGTTGAGGTCCAGGTTCATCATGATCTACCCGAATGACGCTATCGGAGAACCGTTGGCCGCAAGCAGGTTGTAGGTAGGCTTTGAATGCTTGTCGTTCACGTTCGCAGGGATGACGCTGGCTTCCGCTTCCGTGTCGATGAGGAACGCAATGGAAGAACCTCGATCTTTAACCTAAAACAAGCGGTTTGTTTGGTTATTGACGGATACCTTGGTCGTTCTAGTATGCGGGTTATTCGCTTTCCTTGAAGCGGCTGAGTCGTGCCTAATGCAGGGAGCCTGACAACTTCTAGCTGGTTCACCATTTTGGAGGTGATACCAACATATTTCTTTGACGGGTTTGAGATTATCCACCCGAGGTACAGGGAAAATGTTGCGCTTTCGTGTCGAACGAGACGTACTCTGTTCAGGCACAGACGAGCCACAATGAACGGTAGCCAAAAGGTGGTCAGCATCTGACCGTGGCACACGCTGCTTCGAAGCCTTCATTGCTGCCATCCTACTGCGAAGTAGCGCAATTTCCACTTGTTTAGGGTCAGATCGGCCTGACGATTTGGAGCAGTCATGAAACTCGGCTTTCCTCGGTGAGACTACATCACCGTAGCTACTGGGCGTCTGCTGCAGAAGACGTTCGAACGCAGCGTGTGTCTTGTTAGTTAGTTCTTTCAAGGACGTATCCATAAATATGGACAGCATTATCGGAAACTGCTCTGGGAGACGTGCAAACCACAGTTTCTTTAGCACTTTCTTGCTCAAGAATAAGGGACCAGCGATGCGCTGTAGTTCGCGGAGCAGCGCCGAAGGCTTACCATCTTCCAACTTGAGATCACTGAGCTGTTCAAATCGAGTTCGTGCACTGCATTGTAACCCTATTAGTATCACTTAATTCCTCGTTTCATACTTGGCCTTACTCGATGGGCAGAGTAGAATGTCCTCAATCAGCGTCACAACCGACGGAGGAAGGCGTGGGACGAGTTGATTGTACCTCGGACGGTCCGCCGTATTGCCCTTATTTTTCAGTTCGATCCCGAATAACGTAAACCAAACCTCTGGGCTGTGTTACATGAAACTTGGAACAGCCAAACTAAGTTTACGCTGTGAAACGACTCAGATGCCACTCCCGAAATGTGAGTCGAAAGATAAAGAATGAACAAAATACTATAAAAGTACTAAAATTACGTAAGAAACAAATGAATATATGTATATAATCGAGAAAACGGAACGAACTCATTAAAAAATAGAAACGAAGAAAAAAGTTGAACTTCGCGAGTGCGAATCGGGGTCACCAATTCGTTACAGTAGTAAATACTTGTCCAAAACGGTGCGCGAAATTAAGCGCGGATATCAGAAGGCAATAGGAGTCGGACACAGCGAACTGTATTCTATGGGCTACAAGAAGACGCGGACGGATAAAGGGGACAGGAGGCACACGTTAGCGCAGAAACATACAAGGCGGTCGAGTGTCGATCCGGTTGTAAGGAAGATCAAAACAAATAAGAATAATGTACAGTTGGTCAACAGTTAAATATTACATGAAAGATAGCAGTAATCTTATTGGGCGTGGAGGAAGGAGGGCGGTAAATGACCGCCGCTAAGCAAGTCTCCTCGCCTCTTAAACATAGACGGTACCATAGATAATCTTGTACCGTGCTGACCGGATTCTCTAGGAGCTTACATTGGAGGTCGTTGCGGAAGTACAGAGGCACCCCTTCACTTTTTCTGGTTCAGTCGTGCCGAAGAATGGACATGCCTAGCAATGCGATCTCAATATCACTTATATAGGGCATAACTATGTCACCGTTATAACTACGTGGTCGCAGACTTTTGATCCTTGAAGCAGCCGCATTTCGGATAGCTTACTCAGTAAGCGGTGAGCGTTGCTGTGCACACAGGAAAGCGTCTCTGATGTCGAAATCTGTTGACTAGGAGCACATGTTTGAGATGGATTTGTGTCGACCGATGCGAAACCGGAACCTAATCGTTTTTTGGGTGTCTTGCCAAATCTCCTTTGGAATGCATGCTGTTTTTGTTCTCACTTGCACCTGTGGTATGCAGTGCAACGTCAGCCTTCTCGATATCTACAGATCTTAGCGCACAGATTTCTGAATCGCTGTTGTGGTTATCTGGAGTCGCGGGTGGTGTTGTTTCTGCCAGAGCAGCTAGCGGCTGCGACTTTCTAACTATTATCTTCAGTTGTAATTCCGAAGGAAGTGTGTTGCTTAGTAACTGAAAGCTGCGGATGAAGTTCACGGCCATCTGTTGTCACAGCACCGTTAGTTTCAGTATCATCGGGCAACTGTCTCTGTAGTTTGGCGACACGGGTAACCGTGTAATCGACTGAAGTATGACGTCGTCCGCAAAGGGAGCTTCACGGAAGTAACGCCATTCTACCAGCTTATGAACGGGACATGTCAGGCACCTGCTTTTGTATCCGTTATATATCATTGTTCGTTGTTCTCCGTTGCTGCTTTCAGTAGTTCGGGCACGCCATGAACGAAAATAATTCGTTTGCCAATCTCTGTGTGATCGTTATTTGAATAATTTTTGTCCCGCTGGCGTTTGCTCCATGGAATATCCGGAAATAACCGTATTCCACTGTTTTCAGTCAGCAGGCGGTATGCTGGCAAACGCACCGTCTCGATATTAACATTTGAAATCAATTTTACTCGCATTAGCTGGGACTTCCCGTAATGTTTCGGGGTTGGAATTCCAGTGATGTGCATTATATTGGTCGAACTGGCTTGAA